GAATAGATGTTTTAAGATGATCATCTCGTTATTCAGTTTATCCTTCGAATTCCGGAATCACCCGGAATGACCAGGAGTCGGATATTGTGAGTGGGATTTGAAGGGAACTATGAATCAGGAATTCCTGGTTGTGGAATGTTTTTGAGGGAAAGGATCGTTTTCACTTTTCCGGAATTGATGGTAGGGAATTCCGGGTCAGAAGGCGATGTAGGAATGTGTAACTTTTGGGAATAGGAAGTATTCTCAACTGAAACTGACAGGATCCCTGAGATTTATTATTCTCAAAACTCATTCAACGTTCTCTCAAGAAATAGACACAGATAGATGGACTAAACAGTAACTTGTAAAGATCTTTACTAAATCCTTACATTATCTTATTAAGTTTCTAATTAGGTTTGAGATTGCAGTCGAAAGTTTGAACAAGAATATTCTTAAAAAAAGATTTTATCAAGATCCTGATCAAAACTTAATAGGATTAGTCTGTTTCACATGCTAACCAATTTTGTTATTTTCTTGTCAAGATTCTCGTCTGATATGACTATCGTTCGTGCTAGGATCCTGATATGAAGATTTAATGTATATCTTGAAGAAAACCTAATAAAATCTTGACAGAATCTTCTCTTATAATCTTACGTGGATCCTTGATGGGATCTTGCGTAAACCCTGAAAAGATCTTCTATTCTCAATTCAGAAAAATATCTGAGCAGGAACCTGAAAAAATTTTGAACAGGACCCTGGTTTGCCTTTAAAAATCCTGGGAAAAGGAATTATTAGGATTCGAAACAGGATTCTGAATAAAACTTGATAGGATCCTTCCAGGATTTCTCAAGGAATGAACAGGATTGAGACGATGGATTCCAGTAAAGTCCAAATCAGAAAGAAACAATTCTTCGCTTTTAGGATTTATTAGGAAACGCTGGGCTACGAAAGATACTCGCGTTTAACTCGAGTCTATCGGTTTTTATCCCATTAAAGCATGAAATTTGTTTCCAATGGTCAATTGACCGAAGAACGAGAAGTCTTGAAATCTGGACATGACGGAATTCATCAGTTGGAGAACTCTACGAACACGTATCAACAGTTTTCGAAAGAAAGATATCAATTAGTCGTATAATTAATTATATGATTCATTATCTATAATCGTCTTTGTTCGCAACTATTTGACTCATGAGTGAAGAGAGTATGGCTAAATTTTATTGGTCTTTTCATGTCAATTATCTAGAACCCTAAGATCAGTGTCGATTGTCACTACATAAAATCGTTATGGTGGAAAAATAATCCATAGCTTAGTGTAATATCTGAGTTTTACTTTGAGTATACCAAACATGGAACAAAACCGAGCAAAATTTTTGCTATATACAAAGTTGAACATTTCGAATGACTTTGCGACGAGCATCAAGTGATGTCTCATTCGCGAAATTATCGCGTCCCAAAATATGAACTTTGGTTGCGTAGATCGAGATAGATCTCTAGCGTGATTTATTCATATAATACCCGCTCTATTCTTGTTTTTAAATGGGCATTAGAATTTCGACCTCAAACATAATTGAAAAAGCATGCATTCTGGATCAACTCATAATATTTCATCTGAACATGTACATGTAAATGAATTTCTGGTTTAACTTGGCTTTTCCAGTGGCTTCCTTATTTACATGACTAAAAGTCGACTTATGTATACTATTCAGTGTTCTCATCTAAAAAACAAACGGCTCATACACATTTGTAATCATTGCATACTTTTGAAGCTTCTTTTCTAATGTTACCTCAGTTTTATTTGAATTCCAGGAATTCTTTCCTCTAATTTCAACTTGATCAAAAGTAGCCAGCTGTCTGAGGTATTTCATTTCTGAGAATTTTCCATATCGGTTTTTTTACTCACGCTCTGAGATAATTCCAAATCATCATGACAATGTAAAAGAATATCTCAAAAATTATAGATTATACTTTTCAAATTTACTCGTCTTGAAGGCGTTATTTTAAGCAGATTCTTTGTCAAAACCTTATTAAACCAACAGTAATCCTTTAGTATTTAAAAAAAAAACAAAGATGCAATAAAAGAATAAACATTTTTTAAATAGAGCTAATGAAATGTAGTGAGCTACAAGATCACAAAAATTATTACTGATTATTTTGCATATTCTCACGATTTATTTTGTCACAACTACAGTCCCAATCAAGTTGAAAGAAATTATTTTTTAATTGCACTTCTATTAAAACTCTTTACATCGTTCTCCTCTGAAATATATGAAACAAAATGAGCTCCACTAAAATAACTATTTAAATGCTTAGATACCTCAGCTTATGCCCAAAGTAACACCTCTCATTTTCACAACTACTTTTCCACTGTCGATGTATGGTTTTGATGAAACTCATCTTTCATATACCTCTTAGCGACATCACGGTCAAATATTCGATGGAAAAATAAACTAACGGAAAAACTTTTAAACATAGTTAAGTTAGGTCATGTTTTCGTGTCGGTTTCAAATGTGACATTTCTATGAAATTAAAGGAGGTTTCTAGTGCTCGAGATCGATCCAATATTTAGCCGAAGAAGTAAACTGACTGTCTAGTAAAATGATTAGAACAAAAGTATGTAACTAGCCGTTGAGTTTCAAGCTGAAAATAATGCCATGAGAAAGAACATGTCGAATTATATATTTGTTAAAATAAGTTCTGATGATGTATCCAGAGAAATTATGACTTCATAAAACTCGAAAGATCATTATTTGTAACACTTTCATTCAATGAGGATAGTACTTCACATTTGTTAATAGAAAACGAATTGAATATCTGAGACTTTCTCATAGGTGCAGATAGAGAAAACAATTTCACATCAAAAGAACCTGCGTTTTACGAATCTAATTCGAGTTTTAATGGACTTTCAGGTCAAAAATTGGTTTTTAAGACTTATAGATAGTGCTTCAAGTCTTTTTTATTATCCGAGTACTTTTGAAAAAATGTGATAGTAGTAACCAGCACGATAATTATCACCAACCTATAAACAATTTTATTAAAACAGCGATTAACAAATTTTCTCAAAATCTGAGACAGATTTTCTGTGCAAAGAATTGAGTCGAGAGAAAAGAAAAATAATCAGAACTCGATTTTTTAATCTTAGAATTCGTTCTGTTGCATTATCTTGTAAAAAATCCTCCATTCATCTACTTTATCATTATTTACTGAAAATGAAGGATTTTTTTATCTTTGCTCTTCACGGTAAGGGAAAGTTAGCATAAAGGGTCTATCCTAAACCAAATGAGGACTGTTCCTCCAAAAATTATGAAGCACTTATTTTCCATGATGTATTGTATTTGATTTTCCGTGAGACCTAACCTCTTTGAATAGTTAAGAACTTGAGCTCTGAAAAATTTTATGTCTAAGATGAAAATCATAAACCAAATTGACAAACCCAACTAAAGATCCTTTGTGAGATGATTGACTTTACGATGGCTAATCTGTACTGTTCATATTTCATAAAAAAATCTCGAAGCATTTCTGTTTCTGCAAAATAAGTATTATGATAGAAAAATAACTCTATACATCGTTAATGGCGATATTTCAAAACAGAAATAATTAGCTCTATACTGCTGGTAAAAACATGTTTTAAAGAAAATTTAGCTTCCAAAATGCATACTTTTACGTGTAGTATTCATAGAGAATCTTGTCTGTTTACGATGATAATAACAATAACGTGTCTACGTTTTTTTTTGTATCTCACCCTAATGCACAGTCTTATCTATATATAATTGTAAAATCAATCTCTCTTCGCGCATCCAACCGTATCGCAAAAAATGACGACAACCGTTTTAATACGTATCATGTTTTTCTTTTTTCGAATGGGAATTTCTCGTTTGTTTGCTTGCTTTTTCACTTGTCATTCGTGTAGGCAAAAGGAGTTCCTACCCGTGCAAACCAATGATCATCAAAGTAGATGCGAAATAATGATGACGATATTCGTTTGTTTTTTATTTTGTTGCGAATTTTACCTATCTTTTGCTTATTCTCTTATCCATCCATCGTACAGATACGTTAATAACACAAAAGAAAAGCATCAAAATGTGCGCTNTATGTATGAATTTTCCTTATGATGTCAAATATTATCGCTGTTGCTTTTTCCTAGAAAAATTTGTTGGTGGTTAATATTGGGTTTCATACACAAACCTATTTTTGTATTGCCTATAATCACAAGTATAGCCACGACCATTGGTATATTGGTAGTATGTTTAACCGTACCAAATCCACAAAGTATGCTTTTCTATTTGCATTATTTCCTTTAGCCAAAGAATCTTATAGAACGCAATTCTAATCAGTTTATTAAATTTGTGATCGGTTGATACTTTGAAAAGAAAAAGATCTATAGAAAATCAACTCTGAATGCATAGGAGGGAACTGAAAATACTTCGGCGATTAGAAATATGGTCTTAAGCAGTAAAATTACTAGTAAACAGAAGAAGCGATAACGGTTACAGATGTGAAAACGGATATAAATTACCAGAAGATACGCACACACAACCACAACCATACCCGTCCACACACTTACAAACAAGCTAGACATGCATCCCATCAGCATGTTAACTATATGTGATTGCCATTTTATCTACAAGTGATCGATATTTTTTTTTATGAACAACAATGTTTCGTTCTATTTAGCTGATTGGTCTCAAAACAGCATGTAAATAAGTGTGTATTGAACATTTTCGTTTCATGGAGATCGAATTATTTGATTAACCAAAAATTTCTTAGATACCGTCGAAAAATAAAATGCGACTTTTTCGCACGTTTTTTTATTCATTTGTATCGTAATAATTCCATAGAATATCAAAGTATGGAATGAAAATAGTAAAGTAAGACTGATTCTATGAGTATCTAAATTTCTAATGAGTTCTGTCAAAATTATTAAAGTTCAATATACTTTAATAAATATAGTTCCATTTGAATGACTGATCAACATCTGGTTCACTTGGTTTGTCTTGTGTTCTTTAGGTAGAAAGTGTGTCTATATGTTGAATCGTGTGGTTCAACTTTCAACTCCTGATAGTTCTAATCCACATTCAGTGGCAGTTGGCGATTTCAACAACGACCATCGAATGGATATTATCGTTGCCAATACTGGAACTGACAATGTAGGTGTATTTCTATTGTATGACAATGGTACTTTTGCTAGTCAAAGCACGTATCCGACAGGTTATGGTTCCGCTCCACGCATGGTTGTTGTCAGTGATTTCAACAATGACAATCAATTGGACATAGCAGTTGCGAATTTCGGTACTAACAATATAGGGATCCTTCTCGGAAATAGTGACGGAAGTTTTAGGAATCAAACATCTATAGAAACTACACCTTCTCGTCCACTGTGTCTGGCCGTCGGCGATTTCAACAATGATAAACAATTTGATATTACAGTTGCTAATTATGGAACTAACAGTATAGGTGTACATTTCGGATTCGGCAATGCTATTTTCACAAAACAAATAACTTTATCTACTGGATACGATTCTCTTCCGTACGCAGTTGCTGTTGGTGATTTCAACAACGATAATAAACTCGATATTGCCTTCGCCAATTTTGGTACGCACAACGTAGGCATATTTCTTGGATACGGGAATGGAACTTTTATCATTCAAACTACGTATGCAACTGGCACTAATTCTCATCCATACTTCATTGCAATTGCTGATCTGAACAACGACGGGCAACTTGATATTGCTGTTGTTAATTCAGGAACAGATAACCTAGGTGTGCTTTTCGGATATGAAAATGGAAATTTTACTCAGCCGACTTTTTATTCCACAGGTCTTAATTCAAAGCCAGTATTCATTGCCATAGCCGATTTTAATGACGATCGCATAGCAGACATAGTGGTCGCAAATAATGGTACCAGCAATGTGGGTGTATTTTTTGGATTTACTAACGGAACCTTCGCACGCCAGATTATTTGTTCGACTGGCCCTCAATCCAGCCCACAGTCGATTGGTGTTGCTGATTTCAATAACGATCATAAACTAGATATTGCTATTGCTGATAAACAAAATAATTATGTGAGGATTTTCTACGAATTTAGTAATGTCACCTTTGCAAGTCAAATAACCTATCCATCTAGTGCCACTTATGGTCCTGTTGGCATTCTTCTGTATCCAACTGGAGATGGTTCGCAACCGTATTCAATCGCTCTTGGTGATTTCAATAATGACAGCACACTGGATATTGTAGTCGTCAATAGGGGTACAGATAATATAGGTATCTTTCTTGGATATGGGGATGGTAGTTTCTCAAATCAAATGACTTATACGACTGGCATTAGCTCTGGCCCAAGCGCGGTTGCCGTTGGTGATTTCAATAATGACAGTCGACTGGATATCGCCGTCGCCAATTATGGCACAAGCAATGTAGGTGTTCTTCTAGGGTATGACAATGGCACGTTTTCAAATCAAATGATTTATGAGACTGGTATTAATTCTGGTCCGAACGCGCTCGCCATCGGTGATTTCAATAATGACGGTAGACTTGACATCGCAGTCGCCAATTATGGCACAAACAATGTAGGTGTTTTTCTTGGATATGGCAGTGGGACTTTTGCAGATCAAATGACTTTGCCAACTGGTAACAATTCCGGCCCACGAGCACTTGTCGTATACGACTTTAACAAGGATGGTCGACAAGATATCGCTGTCGCTAGCTACAAGGGTCAGAATGTGGGTATTTTTCTTGGATATGGAAACGGTAATTTTTCAAGTCAAAGTATTTATCCGACTGGTATTTATTCTTATCCATATTGGCTTACCGTAGGTGATTTCAACAACGACAGTATACAAGATATCGTCGCCGTAAATTATGGGGGAAATAATTTAGGAGTTTTTCTCGGATATGGTAATGGGAGTTTTTCAAGTCAAATGACTTATACAACTGGCATTAGTTCCAGACCGGTCTCACTAGCTATCGGTGATTTCAATCATGACAGCAGACTTGATATCGCAGTTGCTAATTATGGCACAAACAACGTAGGTGTCCTTCTTGGCTGTGGGAACGGGACTTTTCCACTCATTACTTATAGATATAGGAACAATTCTTATCCAGCGGGGGTCGCCATTGGTGATTTCAATAACGACAGTCGACTAGATATCGCCGTCGCCAATTCCGGTACAGACAATATAGGTGTTCTGCTTGGATATGGCAATGGGACCTTTAAGAGTTCAGTGACATATCCAACTGGCACTGATTCCGGTCCAGTTGCGATTGCCTTAGGTGATTTCAACAACGATGCTCGACTGGATATCGTTGTCGCCAATTATGGCACAAGCAATGTAGGTGTTCTTCTAGGGTATGACAATGGCACGTTTTCAAATCAAATGATTTATGAGACTGGTATTAATTCTGGTCCGAA